CAATCTAAGCTGGTTTATGAAAATGTGTGTTTTTGGGAAAAGTTGTAAACTATAAAAGAATTGTACATCTTATAATTGATAAAGACGTTTTGCAATATGCACACCAAACTTAAGACGCTTTTGGATAATTGAAGTTGAGAAAATATGTGAAAAGTGTTGCCACCTATTTAATTTTTTTGTATAATTCCTTTGTAAAAAAAAAAAATTAATTAGTTATGTATGTAGATATCAATCCAAGGTGGCTTGTGACCAAAATATATTTATGAAGAGTTTTCAAGTGTTTAATATTTTTTTAGCCATAAAAAAGGATTAAAATATGGGTACTATGCGTAGCACGCTTTTGAGTATTAGAAGTTGAAAAAATAATTGTGAGGGGTGGCAACCCTATCACCACCTATAATAAATTTTTAAAGTCATAAAATGGAAAATTTCAATAAGGGTTACTATATGCGCACCGAATTTAAGACGCTTTTGAGTATTAGGAGTTGAAAAATAATTGTAAGGGATTGCCACCTAATTTAAATTTTGGTATAATTCGTTGGGTAAAAAAATAAAATATATATTAGTTATTTAAGTATGAATCTAAACTGTTTTATAACAAGTTTATACTGTGGTTATTGTGGCACCAAAGTTAAGTAGCTTTTGAGTATTTGGAGTTAAAAAATGAAAAGGGTTGCCACCTATTTTAAATTGTGTATAAATCGTCTGTTGGATAATAAATGAATTATCTAACCATTAATGCCTATTGGTTTATAAAAAAATTTTACGAAGATTTATTTGGAAGAGTTGCCAACTGGTTAGAATTTTTTACGTGAAAAATGTATAAGATTGAAAAGTGTTACAATGTGATTAACAAATTAAAAAGGCATCACGTCTGATCATATAAATCATATTAGAAGGAAAGTCACAAAGTGGAAGTGTTTCTTATGTGGGCGTGGTAACGTCTTTCGATAGCAGGAGTGTATATCAGAAAAAGTTATCGGTTATATTACAGTTAAATCTCGTGAAATCAAGTTATTTTTATATATTTATTAGATACAAAGTAGAAATGGGTATTTATCATATAACGGTATTTTCTGAATAACGGCATTTCGAAATATAAATACATGCTTCCAAATTCTCACACATGAGTATATCGGCAGAGACATAAAATTAGGCTTCGCGTATGTCCTATTAGGTTGATTTTGCTATGGGCGTGGCACCTTCCACTTTTGCTTCAATTGTGACACTCCAAAAATTACCTAAATTTTCTCCAAAAATTTCTATTTCTATAGCAACCACCGCTCACGTCTAGTAACTTTGTTCAATTTTCACTTTATATTCAATTACAGAAATACATTTGGTATCAGTTTTTGCCCTTCACCCCACGCCCCTTGCACAGTCAGAAGTGTCAAAACCGCACAAAATTCACTTTATTCAATTTTCGTTGCTGCGACGAGTTGTCACTGTGGCTAACCGCCCGACATCAACACACCCACACACACACACACAAAAGCAACAAAAAATTCTGGGCGGAAATTACAACAAAAACAGCCGATCACCATTACACATCTGCCAGCAATCATCTGCAACATGAGCACATATGTGCGGCACTTGCCATTTTTTGTGTTTTGCTGCCTGCCACATGTGGCGTGGCGTGGTMGTGTACCGTTATTTGTCAGTCGCTTCAAGTGACTGATGACAGAACAAATTGCAATTAGGCACAATAATGCGCGGCATAAACAGCAATTGTTTAGACACTTATCGGCCAAAATGTGATTGTTGTAGCGTTTGTTGTCAACGCTGTTCTGATTGTTGTTGTTGGCTTACCCAGCCACTGTTCACAAATCCTTTTAGTCCGTTAAAGCTTTTCGGCTTGTTTGAGTTTACGCACTCAACGCGGAGTGTTTGTTATTGTTGTTGTCTGGTGAGTGTGTTTTGCTGCCTTTTAGACAGCTGCAACATACCGCATATGCCACATGTGCCGCATGTCAACAGCCATTCGCTTAGCGCCGAGTTAATTAAGAGGTAAACAAAGCTCCGTAGCTCAGGCGCTGTTGTTGTTGTTGATGGTTTTATTCAAAGCATTGTTATTGCTAACCGGTTGCATGTGTATGTGTGTATGTGTGTGTCGGCCATAAAATCAAGTGCCAACCGTCGCTTCTGTTGTCAATATTGGTCACATCGGTCGTATCGGTTGCATTCCTCGTGGTTATCCGCGCTACTTGCCCCGACTGCAACACCAGCACTATGTGGCACTCTACCGTTGCGAATTCTATATCGCCGACCACACCTCTTCGGAGATCATGTGTACCATTCAAATGGGCTTTTGTTGCATTTGTTGCCTTTGCAGTGACGGTTTTGTGGTAACTAGCTGGGCGTGTAGTGTGACTGCATGTACTTTTGTGTGCGTGTGTATGTCTTTGTTGGTGTGTGTGGTGTGCGCACCTAGCACATCCTCCGACCGCAGTCGGCTTTGGTTGCCACGGTTACCATCCCATTGGGGCGCCTCAATTGCATTTGTCTGCTTGCTCGCTGTCAATAGCTTAACGCAAAAGCTTACTTGCCACAAACGTGAATGAGCAATCAAGCTTGTCTACGTATGTGCTGTCACTATGTGATGTTTAGAGCTTGCATCTTTCGTTTCGATATTGATATGCGTGTGGCCTTGAAGCATTTCTGACATTTAATATTCGTTTCGTTTTAGGTTAAATTGGGGCTTTGCGAATGAATTCTGTTTGTTGTTGTTGTTTACGGTGATGTTTCAATACACTTGCAACATGTTGCAATAACTAAAGTGGCGTATTTCATCTAACGGTTGTTGGTGACACTATTAAATATTCCAAATACATAGAGTGATCAATATAACAGCTTATTCTGGGCTGATTTCACCGTGCTCACCTATTCGTCAAGCCAGTTGTCTGTCCGTGCAACGCCGAACTTGAGTTGAAACTTATGCAACTTACAAGCAGCTAAGTTAAAAACTCAAAAATGAAACGAAATATATGGTTTTGAGTTTCAAAACTAGGGTTTCTCAGTTCAAAACCAGGCAAATATTGCTTTTCACCACACCATGCCACAGTTCTCAATACCCATATAACGGAGTATATATTCCGTCAAATTTATTAATTATGCAATAAATATTAGCTAATATCAGAACCACCTTTTCTCTGAATTACTAATCAAGTCTTCTGCTCAAATAATGCCATTTTCAGTTTGATCAATAAATTTTACATTAACCAAGGAAAAACAAACTATGGGAAAACCTGTGAAAAAAATTCCAAAAAATCATCTAAACCGAAAATGTGCCTAAAGCTGATTTTTTAACAAAACAATAGGAAATACACTGAGTTTTATTATTGAAATTCAAAGATAATCTTTATTGGTAATAGTTTGGCCTTGTGTCCAGGTGAACTCGAAATAAATAAAGAGATATTCGGAAATGCTTCCACACACCATTTCAACACCATCACTTAGGATAAAGAATCATTTTGACGATTTTCTCCTCAAAAATCGGCGATTTGGGACACATTTTTAATTTTATAAATTTCTGGGTAAATACAAACTTATTTTTTCTTTAATAAAAATATGCTCCATGCGATTCTGCAAATGTCTGCGTTTTTATTTTTTCCCTACGACCAGTAGTTTAGAAGTTATAAGCATTTTTGTATTCGATGGCTGCTTGCTACATGCTCCTGGTCGCCTGGTAGAAATCTGAGATTTAGCAGCAAATTGAATGCAATTTTTCTGCAGCGGCGGCGAAATCACCAAAAATTTGCGTTAGGCATAGCATAAGCAAAGGGGCCAAATTGGGAGACGGATGCGGGGCATACACGCGGGCCGGAGGCAGGAACATGTCACATACCGGAAGTGTAATTACGGTACTATACTTCCGGTCTGGAAGTCTAACCGGAAGTTATAAAACGGAAACGGATACCAATCTTACTTCCGTTTTACAACATCCGGGACGAAAGGTATATACGTTTCCGGTCGGGTTTTCGCATGGAAGTTTATTCTCACAATTTCTCTACCGGTCAGGATCATGTTTCCTTTCCGCTAAAATATACATCTGTTTCCGGTTGGGTTTTCGGACCGGAAGTATGGTACCATAATTCCAGTTCCGGTCGGTGATCTGTTCCTCCTTCTGATCATATAGACATCCGGTCCGTTTCTCTTTCCGGCCCGCGTATAGATCACGCATCCTTCTCCCAATTTGGCCCCTTTGCGTATGCAACGCCCCGTCTTTTGAAAACAGACTTAGAAGCCCATCATATAAACCTGCATTACATTGGAAACTGCTTGTGATTTCTGAAATATCAGATTTCGCAATTCAATGTAATCTCTTAAAATTTTTATTGTTCATATTTTACCCTCTTTATAGAATCTTAAAGATATGTATGCCCCGAAGTAGGATCCTAAGTTAACTTACAGTTGGAAAGTACCTACTTACTTGTCACAAAACAGGCGGACGCCATAGATTTTGAAGAAAAATTTAGCAATTTTAAGATTATAAACAAAGTCTTACCATTTGTTGCTCATTGTAGTAAATCGACTCGTCACGTTGATTATTTATATATATTTTATAGACTCTCCGAATTTTCGTTGTGAGTATTACAAACTTCGTGGCACCCTTCGAAAAATTTTAGGCTAGAATAAGTAGTTAAAAAAATTTGAGAGAAAAAATTTGGTGTATAGTTCCAAAAAGCTATCAATCACTAAACAATATCTCTTCTTCTCAACGACATGTGCAAGTCGAACATTTCGAAAGTGGTTTAAATATCAAACAAAGAGTTTTTATGCAAAAATCTAATGAGCTCTTCAACGCACGAATATTTTGCATATTTTTCAATAAAATAAATTTCAATAAAACAAGAGAGGAAAAAAAAAGCATTTCAATTTGCCATTGAGTGCATAAATTTCTGTGAAATTAACGCATTATAATAATGATGAGCTTTAAAATTATTTAAATGTGTCCATTAAAAGTAATATGTATTCCCTTGCTCTCTCTCTTCCACTTACAGCTTGGCATATAACCTTTTCTCGCGTGTGGACAGTTGTGAACTTGTGCAACACAATTAGGTACGTAATACACAACCGTTTTAATGTTTATGGCTGATGGAATTTTAACACATACTCAGTGCGAAATTTATAAGCTGCATAAATGTATGCAAATTAAATGCAACATTTGCGGTCATTAAGCGCAAAAAAAACGAGCGAATGAACGAAGATAATAATAAAAAGTATTAATTTGGGATTCCATAAATCAAACGTGTGCGTGAAAAAGTGCGAAAATGTCAAAATGAAGGCGAACGTGTGCGAACAAATTTAATAAATTGCCAAAGCGATTTTTGTAGCCGTCAAAAAGCCACCAAACCGCACACACATATAGGAGCACCGCGCCGCGCCGGCAGCGTTTGTTTGTTGTAGTAGCAGTGACAGCGCAATCAAAAATAATTTATTTGACAATCCCAGACTCGAACACTCAGCGACTGTAAATAGTGTAGCTACACGCGTTGTAGTGTGCGACGGCATATCAAAGCCTGCGTTTCAAGCGACCGCCGTGCATGTGTGAGTGTGTGTTTGATGCGTCGTCCTTGTCGGCAAATGTGAATGATTGAGTAGACATGGACTTTTGGGAATTTAACTGAAATTGAAACAGTTTCGCGGATTGTCAAAATAAACTTTAGGGCGCTGAAGAAGTACGAAGTTTGGATCCATAAGCATGTGATTATGAGTCTAATTCTCGCCAGCAGCCAAATGAGCCCGCCTACTATATTTTTGTCTCTATTTGACTTATAGCGAGCTTAACATTTCCACGAACTACCTCGGAACTTGCTTCAACATTTAGAGGAGTCAGGCTGTTAGTTGTGCCCAACCAAAGCCGAAACAGTTCGGAATCTATACATTTTCCATCTAGGACTGCTGAACCCACAAAATCCTTGGAGCATCAGTGCGAGCATTCAATAGCAAATGAAGGAGATGCTCAAAAAGCTACAACAACTGCGTGGAAGAACGCAACTGCGTTGCTGTTAAGGTGCATTTTTCGAAATAAGTTTAATTTGAGGTTTGAAGAGTCATTTCTTGTATATTGTATAAAACTATCTTAAGACTAAGATGCATTCCATAAATGAGAAAAAATCTAAATTTGGTTGATCCAAACTGAGCAGATTTCCAAAGACCGTTTGCACTCATAAAATACGTCGACTAAGTGATCTCACGCCGCAATGACTAGACACTGTCCCATTGGCACATGTGGTGAGCCCGAAGCTTTTACAGGCCGCGACATGTCAATATTGCAATGAGGAAATTGAGATGAAAAGCTCTAGATACTCTCAACTCCAAGATCCAGCTGCCGCCAGATTTAGGTTGAAACATGTCGATTGTCATACTTTTTATAAACCTGGAGAAATGGTTGGAATTGATATCAGTCTTCTTTTTTTTGCGTACAAATTAAAGCCGAGGTTACAACAACGCTACAGTTGTTATTTCTTTTCATTGTTTGACGACAATTGAAGTTTACGGCGGGTACTGCGTCGAATACTCTCAGAGCTGAAGTGTTTTTATCAATTCGGACGACATGACCTAGCCAGTGTAGCCGCTGTTTTCTAATTCGTTGAACTATGGTCATCGTTTCATCGAATGCAGTATTCACTGTTGCCACTGTAGCCAGAATCTTGCACCATAAATCTACCGCAGAACCTTTTTATCGTTACGCCGATTCATCAGATATTGTCATCGTCCATGTCTCTGCACTATATAGCAGGACGGGACTTTTACAATTCGGTCTTGCTTGGTCGTGGCGAGAGGACCTTACTTCTCTCTATTGATATCAGCGGCCTCAAAAAATCAGTGGTAGGCTCTAGGCGTTTCATTGAAATACGACGGAATTTTTGTTCCATACTCATGAGTTTTGGGCATTCAATTGGAATTATTCGTGGTTTAACCAAACCTAAGTGACTCTCCCATAACGGATAGTCAACTGAGTTTTCTATCTACAAAAAACAAAAAAAAAAAAAAAAAAAAAAAAAAAAAAAAAAAAAAAAAAAAAAAAAAAAAAAAAAAAAAAAAAAAAAAAAAGCCGTCTAATCCGTGAATCCTATACACCGCGCAGGACCTTGTTATGGTTCCTGTTACTAAGAATGAAGAAAATCGGCCTAATTCGATATTTGAAGGTAACGAATCCAGCAGAGTTTTAATAGATACAATGAAAATTTGCAACGACCGTACTATCGGTTTTAGTCGAAAGATTTTTATTTATCCAAAGTGAGAATAATAGTAACAGGTTGGGTTTAACCTTTCTCATGGCAGTCGGTTCTACGCAAACGGAATGCACTTAGTTTTATGCGGTTTTATACGCGGTCAAGGACTCCTAGCTCGTCATCATTTTTCCAGATACTCAATGAACCCTTCCCACGAAAGTCGAGTCTCACACGAATATATCATTGCAAAATGCACCGCTACCTGCAGCTTAAACAATATTATTAACGGATTGCAGGTCTACAGGGTCTGGAACCCACTCAGAGTTACTAGAGTTAACCTTTGTAGTCAAATTGCCGCCCTCATATTCAAGCACCATCGCCGATGCTAAATTGAAATACACTCGAATGCAAAATGCACCAAAAAAAAAAAAAAAAAAAAAAAAAAAAAAAAAAAAAAAAAAAAAAAAAAAAAAAAAAAAAAAAAAAAAAAAAAAAAAAAAAAAACAACAGCAGCAATTCAAACGGTTGATGGCATCAACAAAGCCTGCGGCAGCCGACTACTTTCCTTCGTCTGTGATTGCGGCAAATATGGTTATCGCATAGAGTGCACCCTCTATCTGTCTGTCCGTGCGCTGAAGATATGCATTTCAAAGATGCCAACTCGCAACATTGCAAGGCACGCATATGACAGACACAGACAGACTGCCGTGACGATGATGGATACGCTTCATTTCATTGGCGGCCACAGTGCGGTGCAACGTGAGGCAAGTGCCACTGCGTCGTGCCACACCGACTACAATACCCACACATATGCGTGACAGGATTTGATTAATGTGGCATGTAGCGGCAATAGGGTGTGTGCGAACACACTCGCAGGCTGAGCGCAGGCAAGGCGGCCAGCGGTAGCGTCTGACAGCCGACGAATCGGAAGTTAACGGCGCTCCGCATGGATGCACGCTGACAAATTTGCATATTAATTCGGCAGATTCCACTTGGTGGTTTAATTTCATATCGCCACACACACACACACAAGCTCACTATCCACTTGCTGCATAGAAAAAGCGTTTGTGCCTGGAAAGTCACTCACTCACTCACTCACACAGACAGACAGTCCTGCAACGCTCTGCTCATAAATATCAATAGCTAACGAGTCAGCTTATGCTAAGTTATGCAATGCTATGCGCTGCAAACTCTTTCCAGAACCTTAAGCGTTCTCATTTCATTTGCAGCGAAGAAAAATATTTTCCAAAGACCCACAGGCGCTTTTGCTGCAACCAAGCGCACTCACATGCACACACACACACATACTTACATGCAGGAAAAACATATGTTTGCACTATCTTTCAGCTGTTATTTCAGTGGCAAATTGCCGTTCTTCAGCGAGTTTGAGTGGGAAAGTGGCCAAGAGTGTTGCATGCAGCGACAGCGAAGTTGTGTTGGTGCGTGTGAATGTATACGTGTCTGGCAGCATGTAGTGGCTGTCAGCAAGGCAAAAGTCGTCAAAAGTAAAGCAAGTGCCGAGCAATTAAATCGTGAAAGTACACAGAGAGTAAGTACGATAGCAAGGAGAAGAAGTAAAGGAAGAAGTAGAAGAGTGAGAAGAAGAAGTAGCCGAAAAAGTATAAGAACAAGCAGTGGGAGGTGTTTGAAAAACTTTTAGCAAAGTGTTCGTGATTTATTTGCTTTGCCTTTTGAAGCGTGGCAATGCGCAAATAGTCAGTGTGTAAATGCAAAATCAAAATGTTATTTTTACTGAAGCAAAAATTAAAAGAATTATGCGACTCAAACACAACTACTTTTAAGCAGCGTGAGTGAAGTGTAGGCTTTAAATGTTTATATCGAGCGGATTTCTGGGAAAAAGGTGAGAGATGATAACATGAAAAGAGTATGAATAGGAGAAACGGTAAACTATGGTAGCACCGCAACTATAATACCCTACACAAAAACGAAAGCTGTTTTCTACGAATTTTTTCGGTCAGTTTGTATGACAGTTAAAAGCTATAGTTGTCCGATCTGCACAATTTTTTCTGAATTTGCACTGCTGGCTTGAACAATAAGCACGACGAAACTTAATGAAAATATATCTTGGAATGTAAAAGTTTTCTATACAAGCACTTTATTTCGATCATTCAGCTTTGTATGGTAGCTTTATGTTATATTGATCTGTTCTGAAAATTTTTTTCCAAGATTGTAATATTGCCTTAATAAAGAGCAAGTGAAAAATTTGCTGATGCATATCTCGACAAATGAAAAAGTTTTCCATACAAGCGCTTTACTCTGATCGTTCAGTTTGTTTGGCAGCTATATGTTATAGTAGTGTGATATCAGTCGTTCCGAGCAATAATCAGCTCTTTAATGAAAAAGGAATATGTGCAGAATTTTAGATCGATACTTCAAAAACTGACTTTATAGAGTCTCACCGGTGATATACGCCTAGGCCATAGCGCTACATGTGTATTTTTGCTTGGCACCTGAGAGTAGTTTTTTGTCGTTATCACCGACGTTATACTGGCAGCCAATGTATTAATCTTTTAATATATTATACACCCAACTCATATCACTTCCAGGAAATCACCCGATTAAGCAATACTTCATGGTTAAAGCACAAATTCAAACAGATTCAAGTAAAATATAATACACTGCTAAATGTAGGCAATAATATTAAAATTTGGCCTACATTTAGGCGGATGATGAGCTAATATCAACAGTTAGAGGAAAACTATAATTTGTTTAAGAAGACAAAATGTTTTTGTAATAAGGAATAAAGCTTATTGAAAATGTAAATATAAGTTCTCTTAAAATTTATCATCTGAAAAACTACATGCATCACTTTAGTAATGTTAAGAAAATTTTACACAATTTATTACGCAAAAAAAAAAT